ATTCATAATTTACCGTTAATTGTTGTAAGCCAAAGTTTATTAATTCATTGTTATAACCGTTCAAAATAAATGGATGGAATTGATATAAAATATTTAAAAATAATCACTAATAATCTAGAAAAAAATATTCCTTTTAAGTAGCAGATTAAGAACGCTTAACTAATTAAATAACTAAACACCAACTTATTTAAACATAATCTTGGTTAACTAATTGCCGAGTTGGAAGCCGTTGGATCTAAATTGGACCATCAAGATGCGGTCAAAAGTTAACAATCAAATCAAAGTTAGAAACGATAAAATTGTTAATTAGGTGACTGATTAGGAGTGTTAGTTGAAGGCAATAATATTACTTATCCATGCACCTGACTCTTTGTAAATTATTATTATAATAATAAATAAAAGAGGCATGTCTAGTGATGCATTTTTTAGAGTAAAAGACTTTTTTTCACCCAGCTTGCCTTAAAGACCATTTTCCACCCAACAAATTTTAAATACTACTTTCCCACTTAAGGTTATATTTGTTAATACTCAAACACTTCATTTTCTCAATCGGCATTTACGAGTTATAGCCAGGTAAAGATTTTATAGAAGGAGGTGGTGGATCTAATGATGGTGATTATTGAATATTCGTCATCAGAATTAGTTAAGGACAAGAAATACTAGTTTTGCAGTGCCCGAGAGTCACAATAATCTGTTTGGAGTGAGAATGGTTCTATAAGAAGAGACTGGAGGTTCAAATATGGTAACATAGATAATTTTTCCAACCGGAATCAGTTTGAGTAGTAATGATATTAACTTTGGGTTGAAAAGTGTATGTTGAAGCTTTTTGTGAAAGGGTCATTAAGGCAAACCTTGGGTGGAAAAAAAATCGTTTACAAGCATTTTTATGTCGTTTGATAATGAAATAACTATTTGAGCATGGTAAATTTATGATAATTAATTTTTATTTTTAACCCACATGAAAATGCCCATATTAATGTCATTAACACACGAAAGATTTTTTTGGAACCTTCACTTACTATTTACAATTGTTATTTTCTAAAACAGAAATTAAAATAAAATTATGTAAAATATTTTAAACCAATTCTCTAAAAAGATGCTTAAATATGCACCATAAATTTTCACAAGAGTCAATTATTTCAAAATAGACATAAAAATATTATATGATGCAATTTTCTTGAGAAAATATTTTGCTGCCAACTTGCGTTTCAGTATCAAATATCCCAATGTCATCATAATCGAAATTCATTTCTTAATTTATTTTGTCAATTGAATATTATATAATCTTGATATTTTTTGTGTCAGTGTCAGGGTGATATGTGTAATGTGTTTGACCCAAATTCTATATAGTTATTATTTGTCAAGACTTTTTCAAGGGAATATGTTTTGCCTTTGGATTCCCAACTCTTTAAGCTTTCTTTTATAATATTTAAAAAAAAATTAATTTAATTTGTTTAGATTTGCTTGGTTTCTTGGAGTAGAGTTAGAGGTATTTAATTGACAGCAACCCACGTGAATTTCAACGAGAGATGCCATGACAAAGAATTGGTCTTCTTACTTATCCATTTCTATTAAATTACACCAAATTAATTAAATAACATAGAATTAGTAATAAAGTAAGCAAAAATTAATTAAATTAGGTATCATAAAAATATCATTAATGAAATTCGTGATTCCGTGTTTTCATTTAATGGGAATAAAACCAGTTTTTTTTTTTTTTTGTCAAGATCAGATTTGGAATTGTTTATTGGTCCGGGCATCACAAATTTCCTCAGAATTTAAGGAAATTTGTGATACCGGATTTTTGTTTTTATGGGATGTAATTACTTGTTATAAAAGCTTTGTAGTTTTGATTCATAAATAAATTAATTCTAATTATATAACAACGATATTGATTGTTTATCTCATGTTTTATTGTTAATTGTAACTGATTTAAGTTTACTTGAAGTAAAACTTGAACATAGGGTTAAAGAAAAAATAATGGGCTAAAAATCACTTCATAAACATTAAATCAAATTAATTAATAAAGAGATGGACTTTTCTAGACACAAGCCCGGTTACTATTGGCTAACTTGGCCCCTTTGGTCAACAAAGAGTATTTGCTAAATGCTCTCCATATTGTTTCCAAGTGTACCCACTTCTGATACAGATTTGTTTGTTGTTACATTATTACAGTCACCTTCGGATCTCGAACCAATCCAAGGACTTAGACAAGGGGTAACGTTACTCTCATACAATATAATAGTATATAAATTCATAAAATAATGTTTGTTTTATTATTTGCAGTAGTGTTTTTGAAATATTATTGTTAAGTTGAACTGAGTTATTATTACGAACTATGAAGTAGGATTTGAAAATTAACAAAAAACACTCTTAGGTTTGTTAATTTAGCTAAACACTTCCAATAATAAAAAGTTTATAAATTGATAAAAACACCCTCACATATCCACAATTACTAGATTCAGGCCACCACCATTGGAATCCGGTGTCATTGTGCACGACCGACTAAATCTGGCCGAACGTGCACCACTATGGCCTTTTCTAGCCAGATTCACCACGGATATGGCTGAAAAGGGTAGATCTCTGGCCGTTAACGCACCTTTTTATTTTCACGATCAAGGCATATCTTCTATCTTATCATTTGGTACTCATGTTACTTACTTACTTGGCCAAGGTATAAGTCCAAGGTTCAAATCATGAGGCAGGCGTTCGCAAGATGAAAAAAAGACCACGACGCGAAGCAAAGCTGTGAGTGTCCGAAGGAGGCGTGGCCAGAAGGACCCATAGCGGACAATACCTTGATGTGTCCAACGCGCGGGAAAAGCCTTTGAGCCAAAGGTGGCAAGATAGAGGATAGTCCCTAGTCGTGACGACCAAAGATATGACCATCGTTGTATTAGCCGTCATTGACGGCCAGATGTGGCCAAAGATTTGGTCGTCAATGGCCAAATCTTTGGCAGCTAGATCCATGATGGATTTGGCTAGAAAATGCCAGATCGACACATTATCGGCTAGATAAAGCTGGTAGTACGTCATTACGCCAGATTCCGGCTACCTTTCAACGGTGTTTGTCGGAATCTGACAAATGTGGGTAGATGGGGGTGTTTTTGTCAATTTATAAAACTTTTTTGTTGGGGGTGTTTAGTTAAATTAACAAACCTATGAGGGTTTAAAATAGTTAAATATTATAGGATATGATTTTGAGAATATTGAAACAAACATGCATTTTTTTCGGAATAGGAATAGAATATTTTGAAAACAGGAACATATTAAAAATTTCGTTCCTCTCAATGCTAACCAATAGTCCGCTTACGCACTTTTTTGAACCAAACCAGTTTTCTGGTTTAGGGATTTTCTTGAACTGGAACCAAACCGGTTTTCCATAACTTTGCAATGCATTTTTTTAAACGTGTTTTGATAAAATTTTATTTATGACTTTATGTTAAATTCATATCTACATACCGAATGTTTTAGGTTTAACAAATATTTATGAATTTCATGATCCACATAACATGAAAAGAAAATTAATAAGTCTAATGCGAAGAATTTGTTTTGTTTTGATTGAATATTTTAACAGTATTAATTATATACATTAGTAGTTTTTCTTTTACTAATTAACTTTGTATTATAAATTTAGTTAGAATCCTAGACAAATCATGGGAGAGCTGATTTAATCAACCATCTCATTCTCACCTAGTATTCTAAATGCTTAATTAATATTTTTAATTATTATTATTTTTCTTTTGCAAAACCGGTTTTAATAGGTTCTCAGAATCTTCTGAACCAGAAACTGAAATAAAAAATCGGTTCAAAAAATCCGTAAACCAAAACCAAATTAGTTTCACCATAAACTGGTTTTTTCAGTTTGGTTTCTAGTTCGGTTCAATTTACATATTTTTTTAAACACTCTTATCAAGAACTGGTTATGTTCTATTATAAACTTAGCAAATGTAATGTCGTGTTAGGTTAAGATATCAAACCCAACACTTTGCACTCAATATCATGTGATGATATGTTTTACTCAGCTACAACGCCACTACATTGTATCAATCTAACATATTAAAACTAAAATCTTCAATTGAAAATGACTTATTATTTGCACCGTATCTTTATCAAAATGTGAAGATATGGAGTTAGGTGATGTTAACCCCACCTAATCTCAAATTAACTCTACATTTCAAGTATAATTATGGTTAAAATTGATGGGTATAGCCAGCAACATTCTGAACTACTTTTAGGTGGTCGATTAGTTTGATAGTAATTCTTACGTGTATTATTCAATAGGTCTTGAGTTCAAGTTCCTCTCGATTGTTAACATGAATAACTACTGAAACTCTTATTTGACCGGTAGTTTCAGGATCCCAAAGAATTAGTTAAGGTGCAAGAAAGTTGGCCTAGATACCCTCGGTCATAAAAAAAAAAAAAAAAATTATGAATTACTTAAATTTGGTGGGGTACATAAATAAAAATTAAGGACTAAAAGAGCATGTTGTTGGGCAAACCTTAATGCCCTAATTTCTTAATTCCTAAAGTTGGCCAACCGCAGCCAAAAATCAGTATTCATTATTCAAATAATGATATGGGTCACAATTGCATTTAATTCCTATAAGAATCAATCAAACAATACTATATCTTATTATAAAAAGACATAAATATCATCATATATAAATGTGTTTATTTGTGTATTTTGAAAAGGCAATATCCTTGTTTGTGTCCTCAACCACAATATCCCATTAGTCAACTTTTGACCCATATTTTAATCCAATTATGAAAGGTTCAATAGTCTCCATAACATAAATTAATTTAATTTTATAACATAAGCTCAATTTAATTTGAATAAATCGAAGGGATATTTACAAACCTTTCAATACGTGCATAGAGTTGCGTGAAGAAAAAGTTATCTTATACGTGCGTAGAGTAAATGAGCTGACCACAATAATCTAAATGCTAAAATTGAAAAAACGGTTTAATTTACAATTAAAAGAAAAAAAAAAAAAAAACTTTCGGCATAAATACGCCAGCCACTAAATGCCTCTCCAAAACGACACCCGCAACCAGAACAAAACGATGACTAGTCCAGACGAGCTCAGATCCTCCAGCTCCGAACTCGACCTGGATCGACCCAACATAGAGGACTATCTCCCGTCCGGATCCTCCATCCACGAGCCTCGCGGCAAGCTCCGTCTGTACGTAGCCTAACTTCCATTTCCTTCTTCTTCGTTTCGTCTTTCTGTTGCTTATCGGAGCTAAATTAATCAGTTGAATTCGTTTTAACGCCGTTTTTTTTTTTTTNAAAAAAAAAACAAAAAGACTTTCGGCATAAAAACGCCAGCCACTAAATCCCTCTCCAAAACGACACCCACAACCAGAACAAAACGATGACTAGTCCAGACGAGCTCAGATCCTCCAGCTCCGAACTCGACCTGGATCGACCCAACATAGAGGACTATCTCCCGTCCGGATCCTCCATCTACGACCCTCGCGGCAAGGTCCGTCTGTACGTAGCCTAACTTCGATTTCCTTCTTCTTCGTTTCGTCTTTCTGTTGCTTATCGGAGCTAAATTAATCAGTTGAATTCGTTTTAACGCCATTTTTTTTTTAATTTTTTGGTGGATTTAATTTTCAGGCGAGATTTGCTTGACATTTCGCCTACACTCACAGAGGCTGCTGGCGCCATTGTAGATGTAAGTTATTTTCATTTTTATTTTTTGCGTTACCGTCCGGTAACCGCACTGGTAACTGTGTTTTAGGTTATGAAAAAAAAGGATTTTTAGACAATTACTGGAGTATTGTTGCATGTAATGGTAACTTTACTGGGCTGGTATTTGAAATTATTGGTTTTTAGTTACTAGTTGTTATTTACGGGATTATGCAATACGATAATAGTGAAATTGAAGGTGAAATTTATAAACAAAGTATAAATTGCTCGCAAATTTTACAATTACTAGTTGATAATTCTATTGTTTAGAAGAAACCGAATCTCTCTTTACTTGGTGATATATATGGAAAAAAATATGGACATTAATTTTATTATTACAATGACCGAACAGGACTCATTTACGCGATGTTTCAAGTCAAATCCACCTGAACCTTGGAACTGGAATATATATTTGTTTCCTCTATGGTGTTTTGGTGTGGTCATTCGATATTTTATTCTTTTCCCTGTCAGGTTAGTGTTTCTTGTCTATCATTTACGAATTCAATTGTTTTATTTGCTATGAGTATATATGCTCTTGATTGGATGATATCTAAATGTCGTGCTGTCATCACAAAGACTTGACGTGTTTTTCTGCTTTGCCACCTTTTTGAAATATTTGTGGTTTTGTGATAGTTTTGGGTGGTTTTTGAGAAAATAATTACTTTTCTTCTTTGATGTCATCGGTGTTGATATGAGCCCCCCTTACTGTTGTGAGTCTGTCTTTTGATGAGTGTTGATTCAATCATTGTTTCTAGTAGATTTTTCTTTTCTCAAATATGATTTAGGTAATTTGTTTAGTTGTTATAATAGCATGCTCTGTCAAGTTTAGATATGGTTTATAATTTATAAGTTATTTCTGATGGTAAGTTGATGAGAATGGTTTTAGTTATATATGCACGCCGCTTAACCATATTTTTGGAATGCTTTGACTGTGATGATAATTTGTGTTAAAGTGGAATTTTCTTTCGTTTTACACTTTTTATGTTAATAAGTTCCCTAATCATTGCATTTCTACCTTTCTGATGAGCATTGATTGAATATGCAGGGTCATTGTATTTACAATAGGATGGATAATTTTCCTGTCATCCTTCATTCCAGTGCATTTTCTTCTGAAAGGACACGATAAGTTGAGGAGAAAGCTAGAGGTATGAGTTTTTGCTTGTTTCCAGTTCTTGTATTGAGCCATACAGTGAGGTTTACCTCATAACTTTTCTCTACTATTCCCCTTCTCTTCAATGTATGTTAATAAGTGAATTGGCATCTTTAACAATGTGGTCTTCAATTATTTTCTGGCCCTGAAAATGAACTTATTGGGCTGTTGCGCCTCCTGCTTGATTTGTGTAATGCTTGATATGAAGGTGCCTTTTCTTCTTTGTAACTTTGTTGACTTTTTACTTCTTTCCAATCATGTGTATCGGTTGGTAAGACATACTCTTACTAGAAATCTAGTCATGTAATGAAATATTTGGTAGTTTATAGTTGTAGGATGCATGAACAGCTCCCGAGGGGGACGTAATTGTAGACACATATACAAGGATCCATTGTGATGCTTATATTTTAGCACAGTAAATTATTCGTTACCAACATTTTTAACTGAGGTTACATCTTATCAGAAATCCATTGAATAACTCTCCTCCTAAACGGACCATAAATGTTGAAGAAGGCTCTTTGTAGACACTTTGAGTGCATGTTCAATTTGTGAGGACTGATGGCATGGAAGTAAATGGGAAAATAAATTTGGCCCCTATTCTCTTCATCAGCTTCTTGTTAGATTGTAGGATCGACAAGCTTTTGTCTTATTTTATAACATCATTATTCATTTTTTCAGTCACTGTAGTTTATATGGTGGACTCTGGACTGGACTGGTATAACAGTTGTGGAACTTAGCAGAAAAGTCTAAAATCCTAGTTTATTATAATATACATTGGACAAAAGATGCTTCATAATGGTTATTATCTTATTTTCATCACGATATATATTGGCTGAAATAATTGTTACATGTACACGATCTTCTGTCTTTTTTGTTTTTTCTACTAGGTAGCTTCTCGTTAAACACTATGCTGTGCCTAACTATTTCCATGTTGTTTCTTGTTATTTTAGAGGTGTTTGGTGGAGTTAATATGCAGCTTCTTTGTTGCATCGTGGACTGGAGTTGTCAAGTATCATGGGCCAAGGCCTAGCATGCGGCCTAAGCAGGTTTGTCGTGCTATGACTTTTATCTTTTAGAATTAATCTTAGCTTTCCTTTTATTTAGATTTACTTCTGATAATAACGTTGTTGAATGTTTAGCTGAGTTCTCGTTTGGTTGAACAGGTTTTTGTGGCCAATCATACTTCCATGATTGATTTCATTATCTTAGAGCAGATGACTGCATTTGCTGTTATTATGCAGAAGCACCCTGGATGGGTTGGTAAGCTATTAATTCAAAATATGTGCTGAAATCACTTATATGGAACTTAGAGCTGCTATGTTCTTGTTTATAGATCTTGTATTCTGGGTGGGGTGTGTTTACAATGAAATCTTCTTATAATGAAAACTTATGAAGTATCTGTTTATTTGGTTTATGCTAAACTGAGTAGTTTCTGCATCAATTTAAAAAAGTTAAAAAATGGGACGCTGATATTATTTTTCAAGATTTATGTCTAGAAGCTCATAATGTTTTTATGCTTAGCAAATACGTAAATTCTCCAGCCACTTTTAAATCCTGAAATTTAATGTGGAAACATTTTATTCAATTTTATGGTGTATAATTGTTGTATCTTGCAGTCACTAGTGAATAAGAGTCTAGACTATTTTATAAGCTTTGGATCTTCTTAACTAAGTAGACTTTTAGTGAAGGACACTTGTATAAAGCCCAAGTAATTTGTGAGGGTGAAGGACACCTGTGTGAAGCAGTGTTCTGAAAATCGGACCGGACCGCCCGGTCGGACCGGTTCGACCGGCAATCGGCGGCAAATCCGGTCTGGTATATATAAAAAACCGCTATTTGAGGTTAAACCGGATTGGACCGCGGTTGGACCGCCGGAATAGTGTAGAATCGCGGTCCAATCGCCGTCGGATTCCGGCATCTTTCGATGGAGAAAACACCCTTATTTGACGGAAGGCATCTCCACGACCAAACCCATCCATTTTCAGTCGCCGTCGTCCAGCCTTCGTCGATTGCCGTCCACCTAAAGTTTACGGCTTTACGGGACGTCGGATTTCTTTCGTTGATTCCGGCGAGTTCCGACGCCGATGGAACTCCGTCGCACCACCATCAGAGTCGCCGGCACCTGCACATCAGAAGCCCCAAGATTTCAGCTTCGATTGGCCGTCGATCATCGCTGCCGCCACACTCACCAGAATCTTCGCGCGGCAGGGGTGTTTTAGATAGATTTCAAACCTTAAGGGAGTATTATAGGGGTGTTTTTGATGAATTTCAAACCTTTAGGGACTACAATGTAATTTTACAAATTACGGTCCAACCGACCGATCCAACCGGTCAAACCGGAAACCGGACCCTTGAATGGGCTATTATCCGGTCCGGTTTTCAGAACATTGGTGTGAAGACTAAAGCAGACAATATTTACCATAATTTAATACTCTTAAATGACTGCTGTTTCGATTTTTTCAGTTTCTTTATTTTATTCTCTATTTTTCCTTTTCTAACCCTTCTCAATTTCCTACAAGCTTAAATTGTAAACTTTATTGCAATATGTAGATGGGATAGAACAAAGCTTTATAATTTGGCAGTTAATACCTTGTCGTATAGAAAAGAAAGTTAGTCACTTGGTTAGTGGCTGAGAAATCTGTGACATTGAGATTATTATTCTTGTTGTCAATTTAGACTGTACATCCAATTTTTAATGTTTCGAACTCTCCCTTTGAATTTGCTCGGTTGACTATTGCAAGTCGAATACATATATAGTAATTGGAATTGAAGCGTTAAAATTTATTTTTGATTTTGGTGTAGGGCTGTTGCAAAGCACTATATTAGAGAGTGTAGGATGTATATGGTTTAATCGTTCGGAAGCAAAGGATCGTGAAATTGTAGCTAAGAAGTAAGTGAAAAATTGAATTGCATGGTAGTAGAATTGTACAATGATATTGAGTTTGCTGTGATAACCGAGTTTGTATGATTCAGGTTAAGAGACCATGTTCAGCGGGCTGACAATAACCCTCTGCTTATATTTCCTGAAGGAACTTGTGTAAATAACCACTATACTGTTATGTTCAAGAAGGTATGAAAAATTCTTGTTTGGGGCAGGATTTTTGTGTTTTGTCTTCTCTTAAGTTGTTGATACTTATGAATGATCTTTTTGTGATGATGACTAGGGTGCTTTTGAACTCGGCTGCACAGTTTGCCCAGTTGCAATCAAGTACAATAAAATTTTTGTAGATGCATTCTGGAACAGTCGAAAGTAAGGAACCATTTATATAATTACATAATTTATTTAAGTATAATCCATAAATACACTGAAAGTTTGAATAATAAAAAGAATTGCATCTTTTGTTTTCCCAAAAACTCCACATTGCTTGGTGATTGGATGGACTACGGAGGTGTCCACAATCAACCACACGAATATGTTGTAAAAAGCATATGAATATTATGTGGTATTAGGATTTGCTCTATGTGGCAGGCATTTAATGTTTTTAATTTTTGGTTACTTGACAAAGGGCTATACAATATTGAAAATAGTTGAAGAATTTTATATTATTGGGGCTTTACCATTGTCATATTTGAGATATGGGTTCTTGGATTGATTGTGTTATTTGCAGGCAGTCCTTCACAATGCATCTACTTCAGCTGATGACATCCTGGGCTGTTGTTTGCGATGTATGGTATTTGGAACCCCAGACCCTAAAGCCCAGAGAGACTCCCATTGAATTTGCAGAGAGGTAAATAATATTCTTTCTGAGTTGCTATCAGCATGAGGGCTAAAGTATCTACTTGTCTTCTTACATTCAAATTCTCATTATATTTTAATTTTGTGCAGGGTCAGGGACATAATATCTGTTCGTGCAGGTCTAAAAAAGGTTCCTTGGGATGGATATCTGAAGTATTCTCGCCCTAGCCCAAAACATAGAGAGCGAAAGTAAATCTAACACCCTTAATTTTATTTGACTGAAACTAAATATTTGCAATTTTGACATAGACTCAGGATATTTCATGGTATGTGATAAAGAATTTCAATTTATCCCCTCAACCAAATTTCTGGAGGAAAAATAATTTTTTTTTTCTTATATATGTACTATGTTTATGTTTGCTGAACTTTGAAATGCTTAGTTAAATTACATCTCTGAAGTTAATCGGTCAATTGTTCACTTGCAGGCAACAAAGCTTTGCCGAAACAGTGCTACGACGCCTGGAGGAGAAGTGATAAAATATATGGTTTTCATCTTGTTTGTTGTATTTAACCTAGTACAGAAGAATACTGGTTGTGTCCTTCAATTTTTTTGGTTAATAGATGCTGACTTTGACGTCATTAAAGCTTGGTCTTGATAGGCCTACTCCAATTTTGTTAGAACTGTGTGTAGTTGCATAGTCAAAATTGAGAATGTTGTTTGTATTAAATGTTCTTCCAAGCGAGGACTTAGCATGAATTATGACTAAAACGTCTCTGTTTTCATCTGAGTCATATGTTGAGGTAAACTGTGCGACCTTTTTTCATTAGATTATTTCTGGCAATCACAATAGTCAAAACTCAATTACAGGAATTTAGTGTATAAAATAAAACCTGACTTCTACGCAAAAGCAAACAATTGACTTGTCCAACTGATTATGTCTGATCTGTTCTGCGTATGGTGGGCTTTATCTTTATCCTTTTCCACGAAGGAGCAAGAAATCCTCGAAATGTGTTCACATTTTAGGCTCTTCCTGTATGTATTGTTTAATTAATGTGTGTTTCTGGGTGGTTCATTAGCTGTAATACTCGTGTAAAATATTGGGCATTTTTGGACCATTTCTGCTGCAGTAATGATCTATAATTGACTCAATCATTTCCATGCATTTCAGTGCTGTCCCCACTCTGGCCTTATTCTATCCGCTTCCAATTTATTATTAATTTCAAACTGCAGATCGATTGACCACCATTATTAGTGTGCGGGAAAACTCGATTACTCTTTTATCATCAGGTGTTAAACTGCAATAATATTATTTCTCTTCTGGGTGACAATGCTCATAACCTATGACTTGTATAATCAACATCAAAACTTCAACTTATAGAAATGGTTACTGTATGTATGTATTTGATTACCATCCAACGGTCCATTTTAGACGACTCATTGAGTCAAGTAACTCGGCTATTCAAAGTCTCCTTAAAACAGTCAATCGTTTGTCCACTGTCCACGTTCAACACAAACCCAGAAGAACAACTCGAAATTTCTCTCTCATCATTTTCTTTATTTTTTATTTTTCTCTTTGCCACACCTTTCATTTTCACACTGTCTACACTATTCTCCTCTCTCTCTAACCTTCATATAAACCTCCTCTAGTTTGTCCACGAAGAAGCTCAAGAGATGGCTCACATGGGCACTTCCATTGCGCTCCTGCTGCTCATGATCTTCCTCTCAGCTTCAATATCAACTGCACAAAATTTCAAGTGCAACTCTACTGCAAAGTGTAGAGCCCTGGTGGGTTACCCTTCTCCCAACACAACTTCCATTGGCAACATTCAAACCCTCTTCAACATCAAGAACCTCCGCACCATTCTGGCCGCCAACGACCTTCCTGCCTCAACCCAAAAGAACTACACAATTCAAGCTCAGCAGGTCGTCAAAATTCCAATTCCATGCGTTTGCAGCAACAATACAGGTGCATGCTTTTCTTTTTTCTTGCACAATATATTGATTTTATCTGTCATTTTTTTGCTTAATTTTATCTGTCATTCTAAGAGATGATTGATTCATGTTAATGTCACTTGTTCACATGTGTAATTTACGGTTTGTTTCATATTTAAAGGGGACCCTTTTTGAATTATAAATTGGGTTAATTTGATGACCCTCACTCACTTTAAGTATATTTTAACAACAACCCTTTATAGTTTGGGACTTATTGTTGAACTTGTTTCTAACGAGGGGAGATGAACAATAATTCAGAAACATTTTGAGAGAATTGATTGATAGTAAAGCTCAAGAGGATGGTCTGGAAGTTAGCCCATTAAATTTGTCTAATGAAAGAATGTGAACTGTATTGTACCTTAAAAGTTAAAAAGTGCTTTTGCTTTGCTTAAGCAGTTTAAAGTGCTTCTCTAATTATTCAACTAAAATAAATTAATTGGTCTTATGGACTAGGGAATGGTCTGACTGATCCATACAAATGGTGGGTTAATATTATTTATTTTATAAAAAATATATTTTTCTAAATCATAGGGGCAGTTTGTTCTTACATCTTTATTACATGCTGATGAATATAAGCTATACTCACATTTTAATTTGTTTGTTTTGTAATTGTAAACTTATTATCATCTTTTCATTTCAATCCAAAAAGTTTAAAGTTCTTACTTCTAACATTGAACTTTTAATGAGCCACTTAATTTGATCTATAGTTCTCTTAAAGTGCTTTTGTTCTTTTAATTTTCTCAAGTATTTGATCTATAAAATTTTATTGTATATGCAATAAAAATATATTTAGCAATTAATTAACATTTACAAAAGTACATACATCAAAATACTATCTTTCAAATGTTTTTAAGGGTAGACGTCAGCTAAATTTAGATCTATTCATGATTTTAATAATGTCTTTGAGATTATGTTTGCTAACATAACAATTTACACATCTTATTTTGTTTATCTAAGAAATGTTTTGTTTTTGTTTGTGTTTGTGACATGAATAAAGGTGTGTCAAATAAGATGCCAGTATACAATATAAAGAAGGATGATGGATTATGGCATATAGCTGTAGAAGTATTTAGAGGATTGGTAACACAAGATAGACTTCAGGCGGCTAATAACATTTCCAATTCAAACGTGATAATTGAAGGCCAAAACCTTACCATTCCATTGCCTTGTAGCTGTGATAGTGTCAACAATCAGAAGGTGGTGCATTATGCACACGTGGTGGCAAAAGGGAGTACACTTGAGTCCATTGCTCAACAATTTGGAACTGACAAGGACACTTTGGTACAGCTTAATGGTATTGATGATAGTAAGCTTTTGGCCGACTCTGCCATTGATGTTCCACTTCAAGGTATTTGCCTCCTTCCCTTTTGTCTTCTTTTCATTTCCCTCTGGTTTTCATTTCCTCCATAATTGATAGGTGGGTTACCTCTATTGGCTATCTTTACCTATTTAAATGGTGCTATTTCAACTTTTAGGTGGTATTCTGATGCACTATATTGTTGATTTGCTGGTGGTGTTAATGGATGATCACATTGATATGTCAATCAAGGGCATAACAAGGAATTTATAATAGACGGGGCTAAAGAATGAATCAACTAGATCTCAAGTGTATATCTTGAATTCTGTGCTTGTTCTGGAAAATGACTCATAAAATGAGAAGTTTAGGACAAAAAAAAGCTAGTTATGCTATAATTGATCATTGCTCTCAATCTTCTAGTTATTATGACTGCTTTTTTATTTCTTACCATGATGCTCTGGCTATGTCTGATGCTTTCTTGATCTTATGATTTGTTTTCAATGGTTGTTCTTTCATAATTTTGTTATAAAAAATAACATTTTATTTTTTATTGACAGCTTGTAGTTCGTCAATTAGACCTGAGTCATTAGATAGCTCTTTGGTTGTTGCTAATGGAACTTCTGTATTCACTGCCAACAATTGTGTGAAGTGCAAGTGTGGTGCTGCAAACAAATTTACGTAAGTAATGTTTTCAAACAATGGTTGGTTATGCTGAAATCTTTTCTTCATTTTTGTGATTTCTTAAGAAACTAATTTTAGCTAACTTTTTTTTGCATGGTCAGATTACAATGTGAGCCGACCAACCTTAAATTACCAAACAATGTCACATGTCCATCTATGGCATGTGATGGTTCAGACTCTTTAACATTGGGCAACACCACTACCAGTGGTTGCAGTCAGACGACCTGTGCGTATGCTGGTTATGCTAGCAACCAAACCATCTTCACAACCCTTAACACAACATCTACTTGTCCAGGTAAGTAAACATTCCAGGCTCTTGCATTGCTTTGATTTTATTTGCTCTATCGAGTGACTAAGAAATGAGGCTTCTATGACTCCATATACATGTCTTCCAATTTCTTTACTTTGGCTGTTTCATTGAATAGGAATCCATTTTTTCACTTCACTAATACTCCTTAAATTCGTTTGATTGTCAGCGCCAACTGCATATATAGTTTTTTCTTGCAAAGCTCTTTATATAAACTAGCTTTTAATTCACTTTTACCTACTGTTATCTCTAGCTCCCCAATTATGAAAGCTTCTCCTCAGTATGTTTTCCTTTCGTGATTCTGAATACTGTTACTAACTCAAAACTGAATACACCGACAGTAGCATACCTGCCAGAATGCTTGCATAACTATACCCTTTTACGTTGACCTCGTTTAGTTGAAAACTTTTGCAGTTATAATCTTGGTTGTTAAGGTTCTATTACTAACAGATTTTATTTGATTTGTCGTTGTTGATGGACAGCCCCTGCCCCCAATAGTAATAATGCTTCAAGGATCGTTCTGAATTCGAACTTCTTCATCATCTCCATTCACTTAGTCCTCCTTTATCTCTATCTTTGTCATTAACATTATGTTACTTGTTTTGGGTTTGCTCATTTGTTCTTTTTCTTAGATGTTGTTTTGAGAATGGGAGTGGATTAGTGTGATGTTATGTTTTGATGTAGTTTAGTGTATGAGAAATATTTCTGTAACGCTGATGTTTAGTGTATGAGAAATATTTCTGTAACGCTGATTGCGAGTGCGGTGTATGAAACTCCTTAACTTGAAGAGTTTTATCCCTATGATTATATGTAATTATATCATGGGTGGCAATAAAAGTCTATTCCTCCTTAATTTGATATGCAGAACCTTCTTTTCTGTTCTTTATTATATGATGTACTGTATTAACATCTGTTGTTTTCTCCAAAATATTTGTTATGTTTAAATTTAATAGATGCCAAACTTGTCACACTTATTTTAATGGAGAGAGGGGTCTATGATATAACGTTATAACAAGCTCATGATTTAATCATCAATAGTGCGGTTTTGCAAGAAAGAAAGAGCATGAGAGCATCAGTGTAACGTGTTGCCTGCCTTTATCCTTTGAATTAGAATCCTTTGGCATCACATGGAAAAGAAATCTTAACTATTGAAATTGATCATGAATTGATCATAATCTAATAAACTTTTTTTTTTTTTTTTAATGATAGGGGGTGTCTGAATCAGCTTACGTGTATCTCAACTAATCTCTTGAGACTTTGGAACTATCGGCTGGGTAAGAGTTCCAGTGGTATTAGCAATCTAGGAGAAACTTGAATTTATGACATTTTAAGTAACATATCAAAAAATCCCTATTAAACCATCTAATCACCCACATGTAGTTAATAAACTTAAAAAAGGGAAGTTGATGTTATAATTTAGTGGTGCAATTCAGTAATAACTAGGAAGAATAAAGTGGAGAAAATAAAATAGAAGGGATGAAAGTTAGAGAAGTGAGAGGTGTTTGCTAAAAAACTTGGATGGATTGACAAGCGCCCCCACTTTAACTGACTCAAGGTTACCTCCACCACTAGGTAAATGGTGGAGGTTCACCTTTTTATAATACTCCCCCTTGGACATCCATCATTTACAAATAATTATATTTAATCTTACTCAAGAAATACCTAGTGGGAAAAAACCTAAGTAAAGAAATACAACTCTACAATGAAGTTGGATGTGCTTCATATTGCCTCATTAAAAACTTTGTTGGGAAAATCTAGTGGGACAAAACCTAATTAAGGAAAAAAAAGTACAGTGCACATATGTCCAGTACAATAAACTTTTCTTAAAAAAAAAAAAAAAAAAAAAAAACTCCCCCTAATCGATGCTCCTCTTGATCAATGCTCCCCCTTATAATGGTAGAATTAATTTAGTAATTTATTGAGCCACCGCATATTGATCTTATACACTAACTTTTCAAATGTTGATGTTAGTAAGGCCTTAGTGAATAAATCTGCAAGATTATCACTGTAGCGTATTTGTTTGACATCAATCTCTTGATTTTGTTGGAGTTCGTGTGTGTAAAAAACTTCGGTGAAATATGCTTGGTTCTATCTCCTTTGATACATCCTCCCCTAACTTGAGCAATATATGATGCATTGTCTTCATTTATAATTGTGGGAGCATCTGAGGTACATGGCAATTTGCATGTACTTGTAATATGATGGATGACATATCTTAACCACACGCATTCTCGGCTAGCTTCATGAAGCGCAAGTATCTCGGAGTGGTTGGAGGAAGTGGCAACCAATGCTTGTTTTGTTGAGCGCTATGATATTGCAGTACCATTATAAGTGAAAACATATCCCGTCTGCGAGCGGGCTTTGTGAAGATAAAAAAGGTACCCAACATCTGTATAGCCAACTAATTTAGGATCATTATTAGACTTCCTTAGATAAAATAATCCCAAGTCTTTTGTTCCACTGAGGAAACGAAAGGCATGTTTGATCCTATTCAAATGTCGGTGAGTTGGTGCAGAGCTAAATCTTACAAACAGATTCACTACAAATGCTATGTCTGGTCTCGTACATTATGCCAAATATAGTAATGCGCCTATTGCATTTAGATATGGTACTTTAGGACCATGTATCTTTTCATCATCTTCTTTAGGACGAAATGGATACTTTTTAGGATCAAGATACTTAACTACCATTGGGGTACTTAAGGGGTGAGATTTGTCCATATTAAATCGCTTAAGGATCTTTGTAGTATAATTTAATTGAGAAGCAAAATTCCATTTGAACAATGCTCGATCTGCAAGCCGAGACAAAACTTTGTTTTCTCGAGATCCTTCATTTCAAATTCTCTTTTTAAATACTAAGCAACTTTTGTGACCTATTCAGGAGTCCCTATTAAGTTCATGTCATCAACATATACTGTCACAATTGCAAATCTTGATTCTGATATTTTTATCAAGACACACGAGCATACATGATCATTGATGTATCCTTTCTTCATTAGATACTCACTAAGACGATTATTTCACATTTGTCCTGATTGTTTCAACCCATATAACGATCTTTGCAATTTTATTGAATACATGTTCCTTTTGTTTGCTTTTGGCACTTTGAATCCTTTAGGGATTTTCATATAGATATCAATATCCAGTGTTCCATACAAATACGCAGTGACAACGTCCATGAGACGCATATCGGGTCCTTCTGAGATTGATAAACCAATTAGGTACCAAAATGTGATGGCATCCATCACTAGTGAATACGTCTCATCAAAGTCAATTTCGGGTCTCTGCAGGAAACCTTGAACCACAAATCTGGCCTTATACCTAGCAATCTCATTTTTTTGATTTCGTTTCCTTATGAATACCCACTTGTATCCTACATGTTTCACGTTTTCAGGCATTTGGACTACATGTCCAAATACATTACGTTTTGCTAGGGAGGTTAGTTTTGCTTGAATTGCTTCTTCCCATTTTGGCCAGTCATGTCTTTGTTGACATTCATCAACAGAACGTGGCTTAAACTCACTGTTCATGATTTCAGCAGCTATTACGTATGAGAATATGTTATCGACAATAGTTGTCTCACGATTCCACATTTCTCTAGAATGAGCATAGTTTATAGAAATTTCTTCATTTCTATGTTCTTGTATTCCTTTAAGGATTTCTTCCTCTTCAGAGGCTTGTGTCCTTTCAGGGACTGTTAACTCTTCTGGAGTTAGTTTAGAGGATGTGGAATTGTCAATTATTCCAGTATTGTCAATATTGGCATCTTTTTGATTCTGTGCCTTTCGTTTCTTAGGAATAGTATCCTTGGCTCCAACAGGCCTACCACACTTCTGGCGTGTAACAGATGAATCGATTGTTGCCCGTATGGATTGTTCATTGATAATATCAATCCTTGCTAGTGTATTGATAGCAGGAATGTATGATCTCGTTATTTTTGCTGCATTTGTAAAAACATCAAGCATTTGGTTGGCAATATTTTACAAAGGCGTTATTTTTTGCACTTCAATTTCAGATTGAGATGTGCAAGGATCTAAATGAGACATAGAATTTACTTTCTAGGAAAGTTTAGGCCTTACTTCAGTAGGCTTTACCTTTTCCCCTCAAGATGGGAATGTTGTCTCATCAAAATGGCAATCCGCAAAACGTGCGGTAAACAAATCATCCACCAAGGGCTTAAGATATCTGATGATAGATGGTGAGTCATAGCCAACATATATTCCCAAACGACGTTGGGGTCCCATTTTGGTGCGTTGAGAGGGTGCAATTGGAACTTGCACAACACAACCAAAAGTTCTTAAATGGGATAGATTAGGCTGATGTCCAAATACAAGCTGTATTGGGGAGTATTGATGATATGTAGTAGGTCTTAGGCGAATTAATGCTGTAACATATAAAATAGCATGAGCCTAGGTAAAAGTCGATAATTGCGTATGTAGTAGCAAAGTTCTTGCAATTAATTGGATACACTTTATATATGATTTTACCATACCATGCTGGGTATGTACATGTGGTACTGGGTGCTCAACATCAATTCTCATTGTAGTACAATAGTCATCAAATGTCTTTGAGGTAAACTCACCAGTATTGTCCAAACGTATTGCCTTAATTGGGTGATTTGGAAAGTGTGCCCGTAATCTGAAAATTTGTGCCAACAATCTAGCAAAGGCAACATTACGGGTTGATAGTAAACAAACATGTGACCATCGTGCCAATGCGTCAATCAGTACCATAAAGTAACGGAAAGGTCCACTTGGTGGACGAATAGATCCACATATGTCTCCATGGATTCTTTGTAAAAATGATGGGGGTTCTAGACCTACTTTAGTGATGGATGACTTAAGTGTCAATTTGACTTGCGAGCAAACAATACAAGCACTCTCATTAGGTGATAAAACCTTCAGGTTCTTTAATGGGTGACCATATGAGTTTTCTATGATTCTACGCATCATAGTGGATCTTAGGTGACCAAGACGGTCATGCCAAATCTTAAAAAGTTCAGGATCAGTGAACTTCTGGTTCATAACTGCATAGACTTCAATATTATTAAGGAATGTGTAATATAACCTTGATGAGAAAGCAAGAAGTTTCTTCAGTACATGCTTTTGACATGAAATATTAGAAATGATGCATATAAACTCTTCATCCTTTTCACTTAAAGTTTCAATGTGGTATCCATTGAATCGTATATCTTTAAAACTAAGCAAATTTCTTCTGGATTTGCTAGAATATAAGGCATCATGGATATTTAATTTAGTTTCGCTTGGTAACAAGAGTGTTGCTCTTCCAGAGCCCTCAATTGTGTTTACAGACCCTGATGTGGTATTTACTTTAGCTTCAGTAAATATCAAATCCAAAAAATATTTTCTATCCCAAAGGATGGTGTGAGTCATTGCATTGTTTACTATACAAATGTCTCCATCATCATTAGATATCAATGTTTCATTTTTGAAGTTCAAATACAAATGTCTCGACCTAGCTATGATGAGTTACCTAGAGAGGTTCAATAATACTCTCCAAACAGTTAGCCGAAGGGTAGATAATTTGGTTCAGGTCGTACCGCCCGATTCTGTCAAGGTGGTGTTACTGCCTAAGATGCCTGTAGGTTGTGCTAAAGTGCAAAAACGGGTGAAAGCCTATGCCGTACGCATTACAACGTGTAAGGAGAAGGGAAAGCAAGTGGCAGATAATGGGCCAAAGGCCTCCAAGGGACCAACGAATACAGGTTGTGAAACAAGTATAATACCTATGGTTTTGTGACTTGGCGGTATGTCGCATCATGAACTATCCCACACCTAGAAGGATGGTCCTGACGATCACCATGAGGGAAATTCCTAACATCTGCGGGTCGGTTCTGACCACTGTGGAGGTCGGGATAGCTCCCTTAGCCATTCAATGCCTTCACATGGCTCTAGCCAATGTGTGTCAAGATATGCCAGAGGCTCTGGTCGAGGCGAGGAAGAGTCCGACATGTGGTTTTTCCTCAACCGCAATCGTGAAGGTCGAACCCACATTACGGAAAGTGATCCACAGGTAGCTTCGCTACCTCAGATTTAAGAGTTACAACGGGCTCTGGATAAGCTCAAAGCTTAGCAAATGAGCACAAGTAGATCATTGAGGCCTTTTCTCCAGCAATGTTGACTGCTCCTCTCCCCTCAAGGTTTAGGATGCCCAATATGCAAGCATTCAATGAGAATTCTGATCCGCAGGATCATCTTTATGAGTTTAACGACCTCATGAAGCTTCACCAAGTTTCTAACTTGGCTAAATGTCGCTGTTTGGCAGTGACTCTGACTGCCCATGCCAAGTGTTAGTTTAGATTTCTCCCACTAGGATCTATTAACTCATAGCAGCAGATGAGCTTGTTATTTTAAGACACTTCTAGGCTAATAGAAGATTCTCAATGCTGTTGAGCTATTTGAGCAACATACGGTAGAAGAGGAATGAGTCCCCCAGTCCTATATTGACAGGTTCCATAGGGAGCTGCATAAGGTGGCTAATACACCTGAAGACTCAGTTCGGACTCTCATTATCGTAGGAGTTCATCCACAAACCAACCTGTGGAAGAAGCTACAATTTGAGGACGATATTTCCCTTAATCGCTTCTGCAATCTTACCGAGAAATATCTCTGAATCGAGAATTTCGTGGCTACTCTGAATCACCACAACCCCGATCCTTCAACTAGTGCTCCTAGTCAGAGGGATGAAAACCAGGGGGAGAATAGTAGAAGAGCTGATCGCAAATGGGCCAACGACGATTAACAAAAGGGAAATAAACAATGGTTTGAGCTCAAGAAATCTTATGCCCAGGTTCCTCGTCGCGATCATGACAAGAATCAATATACTCTGTTGAATATGGGCTAGTTTGGATAAGTCAGAAGAAAATAATCTGCTCGGGGAGCCAGAGCCCATGAATAATCCCCCTTTAGCAAGGAATAACAAGAAATATTGCCGTTATCATCAGGATAATGGTCACCATACTAATAAGTGCCAGGCTTTCAAGCAGGCAATTGAAGACCTCATTAAAAAGGGGCATTTTAAGGAATATGTTGATGTCCAACTCCCTTTTGAGAAAAGGATCAAAGGGACCACGGGAAGAAATGTTGTGATAAAAAAGGTCTCCACTTTGTTAGGATCATATTTGGAGGACTACATCTTGTGGGAAATTCTTGAGGTATTTAGGAGAAGTACGCTCGGGATGCTCGTGATGACCTCGTGACCTGCTAAGGTGCGCAGAGAAGAGGAGATTATTTTCTCAGAAAAAGACGCGGTACGATTGCATCACCCCCATGAGAATGTGAGTGAGTCTTCCAAAGCATAAAAGAGATCTTGGAAAGCCACCTTTCCTATCCAAACCTTTTCCCAAGGAAATCTTATTTCCTAGACTTTTGGCCCATGGTCTGCTTGTACCTCTGCAAGAAAGAGATTGATTTGATATTTTCTCTGAATACTTAGTTATTGTACCTCTGCTCGCCGTTCGCTATACACGTCTTGATTGTAATCTTTTATATATACAAGAACAGTAGACGTATGATTCGCTTTGAGTATTCGAACCACTTTAAAAATCTTCTTTCATTTATTTATTGCATTTATCATTCACGTATAATTTCTAAGAGCATCTTAGCATTTTGTACGTGCAAATCGTTGGTGTCAAAATCACACATCAATAGATTAATAGATTACATGATTGGCAGTTATTAATTATTACATAATTAACTAGTGCACGAGTGTGTTGTCCTGGTGCTTCCTGGACTCATGCCAACATTTTTTCTGAAGGATGCAGGAAATTATATGAATGCATGTCAACGGCACTCGTGCACAGCAGTTTTTATAAACAACTTGATAATAAAACAATAAGGTTATTAGACTATATGAAGATTTCTTTTGATCTTATAAATGAAAAATATTTTGGAAATGAGTTGGGAAACCTGGTTGGAGGGGGACATTAACCATATATTAACATAGCTATATAGCTTAAAATATAAACTGCACGAGGGCTTCTGCAATATCGCCCGATTATGTAGCATCTATCTCTCAATCATGTTTCGATCAATGGAATATTATTGAAAAGGATTTATACCTGTATTAAATTTGCTGCACGAGTGGCTTCTGGAATCGTCTCCAATCTCCCATGTTGTTGTCTGCCACACATGTAATGTAACAACAAATTTCGTGCACTCGTGCATCAAATATTTAATTCCATAGTTTAATGTCTTCCTCATATATGGCGTAATGATATTGTGGTTTTAAGAGATTGAATTAAGGATACGCAAGTGCGGTGAGCTGGGGTGGTGGGGAACATTGAGCAAACATCGGCACAGAAAATTGTTTGGATCGAAACCAGGATCGTGTTAGGCTTCTCTTGAGATCTGAAGACGAGATTCTTCATGTGCCCTCTCACCTTTGAAAGAGAAATTAAAGCAAATTTGTTAACCAATTTGAAAGAGAAATGGCTCCTTCACCTTTGAACCCAAAATCCCATTTCCATGCTCGCTCAAACAGCTTGCCATCTAGATCGCACCCTCTTGTTTCTCAGATAGATGAACATCTCTCCAAGTTGGGAACCACAGAAGCTACCTCTTCTTCAACAAGCAACGGCGTAAATGCCCTTAAGGATTTGTATGATTTAGTCAACAATTTCCTCCTCCTGCCTCTCACACAAGTCTTAGCCGAAGAATGCAATGAAAGGCAGGTAGCTGAGTTGCTTGATAAGTCTCCCAAGCTCATGGATGTGTGTAGCACCACCAAGGATGCCTTGTTGCAGATCAAGGAAGACACACAACAACTTGAATCCATTTTACGAAGAAGAAGAAGAAACGATGATTCCACTCTATCAAACCAGGTTGGAGAGTACTTCAGCTCGCGGAAGAAGGCAAACAAAGTGGTTCGAAAGTCCTTGAAACATTTGAAGAGTTCAAGCATAGTCTTGGACAATGAAACTGTGGCCACAACCAGCCTGTTAAGAGAGGTGGAAGAAGTTACCCTCACAGCGTTTGAGTCTCTTTTTTCATACATTTCCGGACATTCAAAGCCAAGCGACTGGTCACTGATTTCCAAATTGATGCACTCCAGATGCGTGTCGGTGGAAGAGAATGCAACAGAGTGCAATGAATTTGAGCAAGTGGATGCAGAATTATACAATCTTCTTGGTCACAAGACCAGAAAGTGTGGTAGCAATGGTGCTGAGAATGCAGTAAATGTGTTTGGGAAATTAGAGTCCAGCATTCAAGATCTTGAAGAAGGAATGAAAAATCTTCTAAGGCGTTTGATCAAAGCTAAAGTGACCCTGCTCAACATTATCAACCATTATTTGTTGTAACAATGATGATGTTACAATTTTGATGTGCATATTCTTGTACATGACTAAAATGTAAAAATGTATACAAGTTTTGTTCATAATCAATACATTTTTATCAACAAATCATCCTTGTTCTCATTGCGTGTTTATAGCTATATGTTCAATTTTCATTTTGTTATACATTGATGCTTTGAACCAATTGTAAAACATTATTAGAAAGTTGAAAAAAGAGAAAGAGAACAAGTTCTTCACCAGACCAGAATTTTTCCAGAACTGCAGTCAAGTGATGAAGCAGAGCGTAGCCTAGAAATTTTCCAAACCCCGATTAAATTTATTTCTTTTTTCTAATACAACACTTGTCAAATTAGGAGCTTTTTTTAATTGAAGACACTATGAAGAAATTATATTAATAGTAAGAAAAAGAGATGAACAGTTGAACTCCTGATATATAATAACTTGGTATCAGAAATACCTCAAAATTTGTTAATTTTTGTAGAACAATAACTTTGTATTTAAAATGATGGTGAAAGTACAGCTCTAAATCACAGACAATAAAATGTATCACAAATCTTGATAAATGAATATATATACACTATGCATAAGTTTATTCATGGAGTTCATTTTTTTTTTTGTAAAATAAAATTAATGGTTGAATCACAAATATCCATTCCAAGCCCTAAGGATCACCAGGAAATATTAGTTTTCATGCTCAGTACTTTAGATTGGAGAAAAGTAACAGCTTGTGCTGATCACAATTTCCTGTATGCAGAAAATATCAGAACAAAAATATGAAATGCTTTGGGTTTTTGGCATCTGTAATGTATCAAGATTTTGCTATTACAAAATTTATTGACTAGCCAGTTGTTTCTGAAAAGCTTGCTCATCTGGATTAGACTTTGCAATTTTTTTGCAGCTGACTAAAATATTGATTGTTGTGTGACGCAATTTTCTTTTAATGGTGAAGAACTAGATAAATCTAAATCATGTCCAAAATCAACAATATTCATTTTTTCCTGTATTACTTCTAAATCAGATGTTGCAGTGCTACATTAGTTCATTGTTACCGATAGCTTTTGAAACTCTGGGAAAAAATTTACCATATTTTTATTGCAATAACAAGTGTAATTTGAATCAATAATCATAATTGTCAACAGAACTCTTGATAAAATTAAAAGGATGCATACATGAACTGACATTAATAAAACAGGTCCTTGGCCAGAACTCTTCATAAAATTTGTATAATTTGTTCAACATTTAGCTGGCTAAAATCGAAAGGATGCAGACATTATCATTGTTAGATCTTGCAGGAATAAGACCTCTGAAAGAAATGTATATACATGAACGGACGTGAATAAATAGATATCCGGAGCATAAAGATTAGCAGATAAGCTATTTAGAGACGCTAATGAAGTTTCTAAGATGATAAGGATGAACCCCAGAATATTTAACACTTCCAAAACCTGACGACATGAATTAACTAAACACAATCCCACACAAGTATCACAGCCGTGGTACTTTTTTCAGGGGGCAAGCCAAACTGGATAGCTCTCTCTTGAGGAGACAGAGTCAACGCCATTCGTGTTCACATATTTGATGGATCATGTGAAGATACAAGCATGATTTTGAAGCTAAAAAATAAAATGGGAAGTGGGTGGGAGGAGACATTGAATATATGTAGCTGATATAATGTTTTTATATCCAAATCGAAATCATATTGACAATTGACATTATGATTAGGAAAAGATTCCTCTTGGCTCCCCCATCTGCTAGTAGATATTGGGCATATGGCAGCAGAATAAAGGCAAATTGAACTGAACAATCAAGTTCTAGGCTTTTCGCTTTCAAGAAAGATTAAAAAGAAAAAAAAAAAAAAAATGGCAGATTCTCCTTTGAAAAGCCAATCTTCTTTCCACACTCGGTCTAACAGTTTTTCATCTAGACCGCACCCCTCACTTCAGAAGTTGATCAGTGTTTGAGCAGAGTAAGGGCCTCTGAAGCGACCTCTACGTCATCATTATCAATAAGCCATCAGATAAATGGCCTTCAAGATTTGAATGATTGTGTCGATAAGTTGCTGCAGTTGTCCCTAATTCAACAAGCTTTAGCCCAAGATGAGCAAAAGAAATGGGTTGATGAGCTGTTGAATGGATCTCTATAGCATTGCTAAGGATTCCTTGTTGCAAGCAAAGGAATGTGTACAAGGACTTCAATCCATTTTGCGCAGAAGAAGGGCTGATGATATGGAACTTACAAGTGAGGTTAAGAAATATTTAACCTCCAGGAAAGCAATGAAAAAGGTGTTTAATTGAAGAATTGCATGTTTTCAATTCATTGATTTATCACTAGGGAGTTACATCATTTATATAGGAATTATAAGATCTCTTAAATTCTCTAATTATGTCAACTGCGGATTCCATAATATTTTGTCTGACATAATTAGGAGATTACACAATCTTTAGAATATTCTAAGATCGTAGACCTGACATAACTAAAAGATTACATAATATTTACCTGATTACAAAATATTTACACAATATTATGAAAATCTTAACAATCCCCCTCAAGTTGGTGCGTAGATGTCAACATGCCCAACTTGTCTAACACTTGTGAGAAAATACGTTTGGAGACAACCTTGGTAAGAATATCGGCCAACTGATCCTCTGATCGAATCCTGGGTAGTTCAATAATCTTTTTATCCAGTTTTTCTTTGATAAAAAATCTATCTACTTCAACGTGCTTCGTACGATCATGTTGAACTGGATTGTGAGCAATGTCACATGCTGCTTTATTGTCACAATATAACTGGATTGGTTGATTAGGTTGATAACCCAAATCTTGTAGTAGAAATCTTAGCCACAAGGCTTCACAAATCCCAAGTGCCATTCCCCTAAATTCTGCTTCAGCGCTTGAGCGTGCCACAACATTCTGTTTCTTGCTTCTCCACATGACTAGATTACCTCCTACAAAAGTGAAATAACCAGAAGTAGATCGACTGTCATCCACTGCTCCAACCCAATCAGCATCAGTATATGCATACACATTTTAGTAGTCTTTATTTTTAGAAAATAAGATTCCCTTTCCAGGAGCATGTTTTAAATATCTTAGGATACGCATAACTACGTTCATATGCTGCTTTGCAGGATTATGCATGAATTGACTGACTATACTTAATGCATAAGCAAGATCTGGCCTAGTGCGAGACAAATACATCAATCTTCCCACAAGTCTCTGGTATCTCCCTTTGTCAACTGGTACTTGATCAGTCTCGACTCTTAATTTCAAGCCTTCTTTGATTGGTGTATCAGCTAGTTGACATGCTGACATACCAGTTTCTTGCAGCACATCCAAGGCATACTTTCTTTGTGATAGAAAGATACCTCTGTTAGATTGAGACACTTCAATTCCGAGAAAATATTTCAAAGAATCTAAGTCCTTCATCTCGAATTCTTTTGATAAGTACTTTTCCAATGCCTTCCTTTCTTCTGGATCATTTCTTGTAACCACCATATCATCCACATATACAATAGTGCAGTGATTTTTCCTTGTTGTTTTTTAAGGAATAGTGTGTGATTTGAATTGCTCTGATGGTAGTCAAAAAACTTCATAGCTTTGGTGAACCTCCCAAACCATGCCCTCAGAGATTGTTTTAACCCATACAGTGACTTCTTCAACTTACATACTTTTTGGCTATATTTCACTGGTAAAATACACCCTGGTGGAGGATCCATATAGATTTCTTCAGACAATTCTCCAAATAGGAAAGCATTCTTCACATCGAACTGCTGTAATGACCAATCTAGGTTTGCAGCTAAAGATAATAAGACACGTACCATGTTGATTTTAGCTACGAGTGCAAATGTCTCTGTATAGTCAATCCCGTGGGTTTGGGTGTACCCTTTTGCTACTAGTCTTGCTTTGAATCTCTCAATTGTACCATCAGCTTTATACTTCACAGTGTAAACCCATCGACATCCAACAGTCTTTTTTTTCTGGGTGGACGATCAACAAGTTCCCAAGTCTCATTCTTCTGTAACGATTTCATTTCCTCATTCATAGCAACTTTCCATTTTGGATCAGATAAGGCTTCCTGCACACTGTTAGGAATAGAGACAGTAGATAATTGATTCACAAATGACATATTTGATTTTAACAGATGATGGTTAGACACATAATGACTCATGGGGTATTTGACTTTACTAGATAGCTCTGGTTCATATGTTGGTTTGGGAATCCCTCTAGTACTACGTGGTGGTAACTCTTTCCTAATTGGTTTAGACTCTAAATCAGGAACATTCTCAACAAATGATGGTTGTGACATACCAGGAATAAGAGACTTGGACTGAGAAGCTTCTACGGTCGGGTTTGATACCACCTCCACATTACCATCATCCACTTCATCTTCTTGTCGAACAATAGGTCTAGTTTGTGACTCATGGTCTCCCACATCTTGAACGTCATCTTGAACTGCATAGTCAAGAGTCTGAATTTCTTCTTGACAATACTCCCCCTGAAGTTCAGACTCAGAAGGAAAATACATCAACTCTTCGTGGAAAACAACATCCATCGTTACAAACGTTTGTTGAGTTGGAGGATGATAACATCGATACCCTTTTTGATGAACACCATACCCAACAAAAACACATTTCAATGCACGAGGGGACAACTTGTTGCGTTGATGTTTATGGAGGTGAACAAATGCAATACAGCCAAAAACATGAGGCTGTAAGTTCGGGACCATTGGAGTATTCACTGCTTTACCAAGAGCCTGAAAAGGTGTCTCAAACCGAAGAGAACTAGAGGGTACCCGATTGATTAGGTAGGTTGCAGAAGTAAGTGCTTCTCCCTAAAAAAGATAACGACATGTGAGCCTCTATTAATGAGGCATGAACGACCTCTAATAAGTGTCAATTTTTTCTCTCAGCAACCTCATTTTGTTGGGGTGTGTTGGGACAAGTAGTCTGATGAATGATACCATGTGTTGCTAAGTACTGTTGAAGATCTGAACTTTGATATTCTCCTCC